TCTAGTGTTGCGTCGGCAGGCTTGTGAAGAGTGTTGTCTTTTATTATGTTATCACTTTGATATTCCATTTTCTTAGCAATGGTCGCAATTTATTGCTCAGTTCACAGGAAGGCAGTCATATCCACTTTTTGTAATCCTCCCGATTTCTGATCTTATTTTTATAAAATCCTAGTTATAATCTGTTATTTATGATCGCTATATTTATTTCTATAAATTCTCTGGGGTACCTGTTACTAAGGCAAATCCGAGTCAGCTTCTTCAACTCCTCGTTCCAGAACTCAGTGTCCGTTAGTCTTAAGCTTCGGATGATCATACTCCTCATTATTTATTTCGATCTTCAGTCTGTAGTTATGAAGAGACTGGAAATTGAGGATTATTCTTGCATATTATTTCTTTCTGAATAGTCTTCTTTTGAGTATTCCGTTGAGCGAACGACCTCAATATCCATGACGAGTTATCGTTTATTTGCCTCCACCTCTATTCTGAATTTATTTCTTCTATCAAGTTGTTTTATAAAATTGAGGAATTCATCCAAATTTTTCTTACCATGTGGCCAAAGTGCATAGTCAAAGATCAAAGGATCTACTTCACTTGTCGCTTTGACGAGTTGCTGTGTTGTGTAAAGATTGGCAAGGTTCACTAACGATGATGGCGAAACGTCTGAGAATGCACCACGTCCATGGTCCGACTCTGGAGATGGTCATGCATACAATGGACTCCGAACTAGGTGCGTTCTATTAGGTCTTCCTGCCAATATGAACAAGTTGCGAAGACAAGGTCAAACAAATTCTATACATCGAAAGGAGACTGCGACCTTACAAAAGACCACACCATCCTGCTCTCCATATCTCTGCTAGGGATGTTGATAAGATCTAGACGACGTCTAAACCGCAGTCAATCCTTGATGCTAATATCTTTTGGGAAAGCAAGGCCCCGGGAAATTCAATGGAAATGTAAGGTCTGCTCATAACATTGTGAGAAAAAACTGAACCACTGCTCCCCTTATCGCGTTAAACGAAATTGGGTTAATACACTTATTATTATTATCCATTACTCAGCTTTTTTTCTCACTTCATCCCAATATTCTTTCTTTGTCGGGCACAGAAAAAATACCTTTTTTTCTACAATTTACTAAATAGCCGTAGGGTTTTGCTCGTTCAATGATTGTTTTTGCTTCGTGTAAAACTCATCCAGAATGTTCTCTAAATACAAATATAGCAAGGCGCCTTTGATCTGTCTATAACGACGTAGTCATTCTACTTCTTTGTCTCACCTCTCCACAACTCCAACCCTCACTCCCATATTTAACACTTACCTTCTAGCTCCTGAGAGCATCACGGCAGACGACCCTGTGGCTTGGCTTGACCGTGAAGTGGCTGTCGGCCGACTGTACCGTTTCCCCAGTCTACTCACTTTTGAACCGGTTGTACAATATTATCCCGAACCAAGTCGACGTCGGCCCCTAGTCCTTCTTGGTCCCGCACACGTTGGACGTCATCAGTTGCTCACGCAAATGGTCAGATCAGATCCACACAGATTTGTTCCAGCCGTCATCCGTATGTGGATGACTTTACAATCAAATATTCTTCACACAGCAATCACGTTCTTCACATAACCCCCTTAACTCAATTAAATGATATTTAGTAAAGAAGCCGGTAACAGAATTGTGAATAAATATATGTAACCAGCTGGGAAGATGTGGGCTGCAAGATATATGATTAGTTGGATATGACGTTAATCCGGCTGATTTGCAAGCAGGATGGTAAGCGTGCCAAAATTTAATTAAATAGTTATTCAAGCTTTTAATAAGGATGGACAGAAAATTGGGTAGTTAGTTACGAAGATATGCTAGTAGGTGAATAAGCGAGAAGATTAACTTAGCTTTATAAGGCATAAATCTGAAAATTAATATAATTTTCTGCATTATTTTACCGAGGTTCAACTTTTACGAAAGTTTTTAGGGCGGTGAGTCAAGAGAATCAAGAGAGTCCTTTGCTCGGCCTATGCTTAAATTTGATTTGAAAATGACTTTCGCCTCTGACAATGTCTATCAAGAGAAACAAGTAGGTTCAGTATGTTGTCAGCAGAACTGAAGGAGGATGTCTCAAGAACTTAATGCTTTAAATAAGTAGCTCTTCCGTCTTCATGCCCCCCTTTTAAAAAATTGTTTTTTTCCTATTTTTCAAATTATGTTACTTGTTGGTGAGCTTCCCCTGTAAATTCATATTATCACCACAAGAAAACTCTAATCTGTAAGAGGTATACATAAAGCTTAAATAGAAATCTGGAAAAACAAGCCAGTACATTGCTTAATTAGTCTTTTCTCGCCTCAATTTTTCCGACCCTGATAGGTCTAGCTACACTATCTTTTGGTCAGAGTGAGAGAATTTTACCCTATCCGTTGAATTATATTTTTTAGTCAGTAGTTAAGCGATAGTGACTCTATACACATCCTCAGAATAGGATTTACAACTTGTGGGCAGGCCATTATTAGACATAGGCACTTCCTGCACATTAATTCGAATAATCCAGGAGCCTTCCTTGAATCTCTTAAAAGAATTCAA